AGGATTTCTCCCACCCTGTAACCCAGCTTTGCCTCTAGGCTTAGAGCCCCCATCTGTTAGGGATGCCTCAGCTCCCTTTGTCATCCCTACCTTTCACATAGGACTAGGCTCCCAGGCCCCTCCCCATCTCTGTTGCTAAGTCCAGTGTTTATTTCTTCTCACTTTCATTTGACACAGTTACTCTTAAAAGACTCCTGTGGCTTACAGGACACTACTCTCTTCCTTCATTGCCTCCTTTGCTAGATCTGGCTCATTTCCTCAACCTCTCACTTCCCAGGTTTACACTGCTCTGAGGTGATCTCAACCATTTCATGACTTTAAATACCATCTAAGGAATTCCCTGGAGGTCCAATGGTTAGGACTGGATGCTTCCACTGCTGGGGCCCAGGTTCAATCCCTGGCCAGGGAACTAAGATCCCCACGGTGTGGCCATAAATAAGTAAATAAATACCATCTATATGTCTATATACTAGTCTTACTGAGATACAATTGACATGTAAAATTTTATTAGTTTAAGGTATACAACATAATGATTTCATATATGTCTATATTGTGAAATGATTACCACAATAAGTTTAGTTAACATCCATCACCTCACATAGTTACAAAGCTTTTTCCTGTGATGAGCACTTTCAAGACCTGCTCTCTTAGCAACTTTCAGATATACGATATAGTATTGTTGACTATAGTCATTATGCTGTACATTACATCCCCAGGACTTATTTATCTTAAAACTGGAAGTTTACCTTTTGACCACCTTCACCCATTTTCCCCCGGCCCTGCCTCACCCCTGGCCTCTGGCAACTACCAATCTGTTCTCTGTTTCTGTGACTTGAGTCTTTTTGTTTGTTTGTTTTTATTTTTATTATTATTATTTTGTGCGTGTGTGTGGTACACGGGCCTCTCACTGTTGTGGCCTCTCCCGTCGAGGAGCACAGGCTCCAGACGCGCAGGCTCAGCGGCCATGGCTCACGAGCCCAGCCGCTCCGCGGCATATGGGATCCTCCCAGACCAGGGCACGAACCTGTGTCCCCTGCATTGGCAGGCGGACTCTCAACCACTGTGCCACCAGGGAAGCCCTGTTTGTTTGTTTTTAGATTCCACATATAAGTGAGAACATACAGCAGTTGTCTTTATCTGATTATTTCACTTAGCATAATGCCCTCAAGGATGAATGAATAAAGAAAATGTGGTATATATCTACAATGGAATATTATTCAGCCATGAAAAAGAAGGAAACCCTGCTATTTGCAACAACATGGTTCGATCTTGAGGACCATCTATGTATCTTATGCCTAATTTTTTGTCTCAGTCTAAACCTCCTCTGAGCTCGATTCAGATATCTGACCACTTTCATCTCCACTTGACATCTCCACTTGGTCATCTAATTGGCATCTCAAACTTAAAGTGTTCAATGCGAACTGATTTCTCTCCCAATCCTGCACCTCCTGTAGTCTTTACTCCCTCAGTTAAGGGTACCTCCATTTACCCAGCTGCCTAGGCCAAAACACCTTGGAGTCATCTTGGATACCTCCCATTCTGTCACATTCTACATTCAAGACATCAACAGATCGTGTCTGGTTTATCTTCAAAACATATTCAGAATCTAACCACTTCTTGCCACCCCCACTGCTATCACCCTGGTCCAAGCCAGCATCATCTCTTGCCTGGATTACTGCAAAGGCCTCCTAATTGAACCTCATGCTTGCATCCCTTGTGGAGGGTTCTCCACACAACAGTCAGAGTCAGACTTTCAGTCTTTGCTTAGACATTTGCAATGCTTCCCATCTCATTCAGTCCTTTCACTGCCTCCAAGAACCTGCTCCAAGGTCTATGTTACCTCTGACCAAACATCCAACCGTTCACCTTGGCCATTGTGTTCTAGCCCAGTGGCCTCTTTGCTTTTCTTCTGACACATCACACTTCCACCTCAGGATATTTGCACCTGCTGCTCTCCTGATTGCATGGCTCTTCCTCCCCTCCTTCAGTTTCTGCTCAGCGAGTCCTTCCCTTAACATTTGGGTAATATCAGCCCTTCTGTGTTGGTGTTAAAATACCTGCAGGGGACATCCCTGGTGGCGCAGTGGTTAAGACTCCAAGCTCCCAATGCAGGGGGCCCAGGTTCGATGCCTGGTCAGGGAACTAGATCCCACATGCATGCTTCAACTAAGAGTTCACATGCCGCAACTAAGGAGCCAGCGAGCCGCAACTAAGGAGCCCACCTGCTGCAACTAAGACCCAGCACAACCAAATAAATAAATAAAATGAAATCCCTCCATACAATTTTTGATACTCTTCCCTTTAAGAAGTGAAGCCTAATTCCGTTCCCCTTGAATGCAGGCTGGACTTAGTTATGTACTTTTAACAACTAATATATGGCAGAAGTGATGGTGTGAGACTTCTAAAACTAGGCCATAAAAAGCACTCTTCCCTCTTTAGTCACTCTCTCCGGGGGAAACCAACTGCCATGTTGGGAGGACACTCTGGTATGAGGTCCTCTCCCATGGAGAGGCCCACCTAGGGAGAACAGCCTCCTGCCAACAGAGCATGTGAGCAAAGTGGATCTTCCAGTCCCAGTCAAATCTTCAGATGACTGCAGCCCTAGCCAACATTTTTACTACAACCTCATGAAAGACAGCACCACTCAGCTAAGCCACTCTCGAATTCCCTATCCACAGAATTGTGAAAACATAGATGTTTTTTCAAGCTTCTAAGTTTGAGTGTAATTTGTTGCACAGCAATAGGTAACTAATGGCACCCTTCCCTTTCTATTCCCCCCAACCCAGATTTATTTTTCTACATTTTACTTATCACCATGTGACACAATATACATTTCCCCCACTGGAATTATGCCATTATAATAAGGACTTTGTTTTATTTACTCCTGTGTCCAACAGTGCCTTGCATAAAGTAAGTGCTCAGTCAGTATGTGTTGGATTAATGGATGTCTAGGTCAGTCTGTCTGTCTCTGTGAGGTATAGGATCAGAGGGGGCTATGTGTGGGTTTGAGACAGCCTTTCCTCTTCACAGATGGAGAGAGAGAGAAACCAGGTTCCAGTCAGGTTATTCCTTCCCCTTTGCCCTCCCCAGTTGTACCCTCCTGGCTCAGACCCCAAAGGTGAATTTACTATGCTTGATTGATTCTTTTCTTTTGGGAGTAGCGTCCAAGTCCCTTGCCCCTCTCCACCCCCTCCAAAGCACTTGCCCCTCTCCACCCCCTCCAAAGCAATCTCCAAACCCTCAACTGGAATGTCCCCAAGCCAGTTCCTACCTTTCCAAGAGGAATCTTACCTTCATCTCTCTCCAGGCACTTTCTCTCTTCTGAGCAGCTAGGGAAGCTGGGTGGGGGACACAGTTGGGAGGCAAGCTGAGCACAGGAGTTGCCTTGGAGAGGGATGGCAGCAGAGAGGGCTGGACTCTGCCCCAGGAGAACTTATACCATGCCAACCTATGGGGGCAGGGGCATTGGATCTGAAGGTGGTTGGATCACCAATGCCTCTTGATGGAAGTGGGATCTGACTGGCTGTCAGACCTGAAATCTGAGCGGGTGGGCACTGGAGTGTGAGCAGGACTGAGCCTCAGTGTGGCTGGCCAGAGATGGGCCACAGAGAATGTGGACTTAGTGCCACAGTGGGAGCTGGGCTGGGGACAAGGGTAGAGGCTGGAGACAGAGCAGGGGGCTGTCACCCACCACAAGATCCTGGTGAGAAGAGCTGGTGGTCCAGACCAGGGCAAGCTGGGTCTGAGAGGAGCAGACTCATTGGGAGAGGGTTGGGGAGGAGGCAAAAGTTACCTCTGAATTTCTGCCCCCTAGAGGAATCTTGGCCCTGAGACCAGTGTGCCTCACTGGGTATGGATGAGGTCAGGTGGTGCTCCCTGGTGCTGAGCTTGACACAGCAGAGTTTCACACCTATGCCAGGTATCACTCCTACAGAGGCGTGTTGTTCACTCACACTTGGCATCACCTCCCGGTGACTCTCAATGCTTTTAGTAGGTCGATTCCCTTCTGCACAGGAAGAAACTGGGGAATGGATGAGGGTGCTTAAGAGGAGTGGGGTCCAGGGCTGCTAAGGAACAGCATCTCAGCATCTGGAGGATAACTGGGAGTAGGGTGGGCCTGGAGCAGTTGGCTAAAGGTGTCTGGAGCTAGAGATTGGGGAGTCATGCAAACATGGGTAGAGGATGTATGTGAAGATGGGCAAAATGCTGATCACTATTGAAATTCTGAGGATTGCCAGAGGTTCATTATATTATTCACTCTTATTGGGTATATGTTTGAAAATTTCCATAATAGAACGTCAAAAGAGCTAAAAGCCGTGTGGCTTTGTACCTGCAGGTGGTATGTGTGCCCTGCTGCTGGTGTGGAATGAGCTCAGAGACCTCTGAGTGTGTGGGTGCAGAAGTGAGTTCACCACCATGTGCGCGTATTGTGCAAACTGCAGCGTGCGTGCAGTTGGGGACAGCACCTGGGCAGGGCAGGGGAGAAGCTTCTGTTCTGCCCAGGCCCTCCAGTCTCACCCCAGCACCCCACAGAGTGAGTCCCCTCAGATCACAGCCTGTCCAGGCCTTTGGCGCTGTAGTATTTATGTAACCAAGTATGTGAGATAGGGCGGCTGTGTACCTTGAACTTGTGACAGGGTGTGTTGGTGTGTGAACACGAATGTTTGTATGTGGATGCCGGGCACTGAGTAAGGGTGTGGGGACCCCCCTCCCCCGACTTGTGAGGCTGGGAGGGGCCCCGCTCCGGAGTTCGGTGGTGGTGGACTCCTCACTCCCCTTTGCACGATTTCCAGCAGCACTCCAGCGCCCTCTCCCCCCCACCCCCGAATCTGGCTGTATGGAGGGTGGGAGACACCTGTTGGGGGGCTGGAAGCGGCAGAGCCCACCGGGGCCTCTCTCCCTGCGCCCCCGCCCGCCCTGCCCCTCGCGGGTCCCGCCCCCGCGGCCGCAGCCGGCAGAGCAGCGAGTGAGCGCCCCGCGGCCGGAGGAGCGCGCGACTGCAGGAGCGCACGGCAGGGGCCCCGCACAGGGAACCGAGCTGAGACAGGGCCCGCCCGACAGGCGGGCTGAGCGGAGAGAGCGCCGTGGAGACGCCGGGGGCAGCGGGCCGCGCCAGGCTGGTGAGTGTGGCCGCGGGGAGCCAGAGAGCGGGCGTGGAGACGCTGCTGTCCCCGTCCCCGTCCCCGTCCCCGTCTCTACCCCCGGCATCCTCTGTTCCCTCTCCTCCTCGGTTCTAGTCCTCTGCGTCTCTGCCCCGTCTCTCCGTCTGTTTTCCCTGTCTCTGTCCCTCTCTATTTACTGTCTTGCCCGGTCTCTATTTCTAATCTCTTTCTTCTGTTTCTGTCTCCTGCTGCGTCGGTCTTTGCCTGTTCTCTCTCAACCCCGGCCTCAGTATTTGTCTCCCTCTGCCTCTGTCTGTCTGTCAGTCTCCCTGGACTGCTTGTCACTCAGGTCTTTGATATTTATCTCTTGCTCCCCTATCTCTCTTACCTTCCCGGTCTCTCTACCGGATATCTCTATCAATCTCATCTCTCCCCGTCTCTGTCTCTCCATTCTTGTCTCTGTCTGATATTTCTGTCACCCTCCACCTTGGTCCCTCTCAGTCTCTTTTCTCTCGCCATCTCTCATTTCTATCCCCATATCTCCCTGTCATTGTCTCTCTCCCTCTCTGTTGGATCTCTTTCTTCTCCATCTCTCTCTGTTTCTTGGTCCCTGTCACCCTCTTTGATCTGCTCAGTCTCTACCTGTCCTCGGTCAACGTCTGTTTCTGTCTCTTTGGGTCTGGTCTCTGTCTCTCCTGCTCTTTTTACCTCTCTGTCCACCTCTGAGAAAGCTGTCTTTCTGTCTTTTTCCTTATGGCCCCCCTGCACTTCCCTGAATCCATAACCACCTCCCCTTGTGTTGGGGGCTTTGGGGGAGCAGGTGCAACACGCATAATTCTCTCCTCCACAGGCAGCCCTTTCCTCAGGGCAGCGCCTGGTGCCAGCCGGCCCACCAGTGGGGGGACTGCGCCTGGAAGCTGTAATGGAGGCCCTGCAGAGACAGCAGGCAGCCCGACTGGCCCAGGGGGTGGGGCCTTTGGCCCCTCCACGCCCACCACCACCACCGCCGAGGCCTTCCTTTCCTGGATCCCGGACCCTGCAGGCCCCTGACGGGGGCTTGGGGGAGGTTGGAGCTGAGGAAGAGGAGGATGCCCAAGAGGATGAGGAAGGAGAGGAAGCTGGCACAGAAGAGGAGGCAGCCAAGGAGAGCCACCCAGGGACCCAGGGCACCAGCTCACCTTCCAGCCAGCCCCCTGGACCTCATCCCCATGAGTGGACCTATGAGGAGCAGTTCAAGCAGGTAGGACCCTCTCAGTGTCAGGCCCTCCCCCTTCCTACTCTCTGGGCAAAAGCAGAGCAAGGTGATCAGTAGCCCCCCCACCCCACCCCACTGCGCTCTGCAGGATGGAAAGACAGAGACATAGAGACCTGGAGAGAGACAGTGGGAAGACTGAAGGCTAGACGGGGACTGGGAGGGAGAGACAGACATGCTGAGACATGGAAAGAAGTGCGTAGGCACACACCGTGAGGTGCAGGAGACGCCCAGAAACATGGAGGCTGACAGACTGGAGGCTCTTGGTGAAGCTGGAAAGTGGGAGGGATGCAGGAGCCTTCAAGGATTCTGAGGGAGGGGGATCTAGGGGTCCCAGTGCCAGCACTACCATACCTTCTCACACATCAAGTCACAAGGTCATATTCCAGTGACCAGTGGGGGTGTCCTGGGCTGTCTACTTCTGTCTTGGAAGTGGAATGGAGGTTGCCGCTGCTTTGGCAAGCTGTTACCCACTTCATCTCTTCCTTGTCACATTCTCCCCACCCATGTCCTCTCCCCGGCCTGAGTTCTATGGGTGGCAGTTCCCAGCCTGTGATGGCCACTACAGCCGCAGTGTGACTAAAGGGCTCCTGTACAGCTGGGAATGATAAGACCTTACTCACAGGGCCTTAATTTGAGGTTCTTCATCCCTGCGGAACCCACCTGGATGTTATTCGAAGGCACTACTGTAGGCTGTCATTAAGAAGATGTTATGCAGGGCTGAGATTCTAGGTGTGCTATTCTGGTGGTGTTACTCGTAGGGTGTTGGTTTTGGGTATTTTCCAGAAGTGTTCATCTATGCTTAGACTCTGTGGTGTTAGTGTAAAACTGATAGTGTTACTCGGGGCTCTGTTACTCTGGAGATGTGACTCTAGCGACTGTTTCTCCTGGGTGTAATTCTGGGGATTATTACTTGGAGACTGTGTGTGTTTTTTGTGGGTATCCATTTAAGACGTAGGGCTCAGTTCTTGTGGGAGTGTAGATCTAAAGGTGCATCTTTGGGGTTTGTTACTCATGGGTGTTTTTTTGCTCTGAGAGTTCTTATTGGCAGGTGGAGTGTTACCTATGGGTGTTATACAGGGACTGTCACTCTGGGTAAAAGACTCTGTTACTTTAGGGATTGTCCCTCCTGGGGGGTATTTGAGAGCTGATACTGGAAGTAGAGCTCCAGGTGACTGAGAATAGGTGGGATAACCCCTGGACCTTTCAAGTCCTGACCCTACAGATCCTGGGTGGTTCAGGGCCATTGCCTCTGTGGGGCAGCTTCTGTAGTGCAGGAAGCTGTTCCTGGAAGATATGTGGGCTGAGGGGCCCAAGGTTTCCATCCAGGAGCTTTTCTGAGCACCCACCTTGCCTGAGGGATGGGTTAGAGGCATCTCTGCCCCTCATCCCCACCCCTGGCACACAAACATGTGAACAGCAAGAAGCCCTTGCGGGTATGAATGAGTGAATGAGTGGCTCAGATATATCTGTCGGTTTCCTCAATGTGGAACACAGCACCAGCCGGACTTCCTCCCAGGGGCTCTGGAAGGCAGGCTAAGCCTCCGTAGCTTTCTCTCTTCCCCTACTCCCCAGATGGGTGGTTTGAGCTGCCCAGGGCACCACTGGCCAGTAGAGGGGTCTCTGTGTATCAGGAAAAAAAGTGCCCACACCTGCCCCCAGGGGAGAGAACCCAATGCTCTCTCAGGAAGTCTACATTTCAGAACTTACTTACCCCTTCAGCTGGGGATCCTTAATCTGGGGGTTGGAGTCCAAAGGGTCCCGGGGTGGGGTGGGGGCTGGGTAGCAGAGCTGGAAAATGACCTCAGTTTTTCCCCAGCTGTACGAGCTCGATGCAGACCCCAAGAGGAAAGAATTTCTGGATGACCTGTTTAGCTTCATGCAGAAGAGGGGTGAGTGGGTTGATGCAAGGGAAGGACCCCCACTTACCAGGCTTGAGGAAGGGAAACCCCAGGGTTTAGTCCTCAGTTTGGGTCCTCTTTGCAGAGGCCTGGGCTTGGCAGCATGTATCCTTTGGGCCCTCAATAACGTCTTTAACCTCTGACCCTGCTCCCCTTCTCCACCCAGGGATTAATTAGTGGCCAGCCCACTGGCAGGTTAATGAGTGTGGGATCACTTGGGAGGGTGGGAGGGGGAACTGGTAGGAGGCTGGCCTGGGGTTGGGGGGTTCCCAGAATTGGGGGAGTGGGATTGGAATGCCTTGGTCCTCTTCCAGCCTTGTCTCTCCTCAGTTTCCCCTTGCTTCAGGCAGGAAACACCCAAGGTGTTCTGCATCAGGAAGGACTGGAATTAGACTGAAGGGAGGACTTCTCAAGGGGTAGGCAGGGGCTGTGGAGGAGAAGGAATTCCTTTCCAGGAATCTCAGAGCCAGAAGTGAATGCAAGAAGGGTCCAGGAGGGGATCAGGCTGGGCGGCAGTCCATCACTTAGGCTTCTCCGCAGATTCATGGGTCGGAAGACTGACTCATTATCTCTCTCTACAAAGCTAATTAACTCACTCCACGAGTGCGGCCTGATAAGCTGCTAATTAACTGGCTTCACTGCCCCCCTCCCTTAGTGCAGCTGCTGGCCAAAGTCCCTCAGGCCCCCACCGCAGGCCCAGAACCCCTTTCGGGTCCCTTCCTAACCAGGAACCCTCCGTGGGGCTCCAGGTCCTTTGGCTCCCCAGAAAGGCCCGGTCATTCTGGTCCCAACGTCCCCTCCCTGCCCCTTCCTCCTGGTCTCCCCTGCACTGGGGGGTGGGGTAGGGTGGTCTCAGCAGATCCTAGCGCCCCCTTCCTCCCAGCTCTGCCTCCCTCAGGTCCCTGCCTTCCTCTGCTCCCTGTGCGGGGAGAGGGGATCCCGCGGGACCGATAATTTCCCCCCATTAATCAGGCCGCAGCTAATTGTTCGGGTCCAAAGGCGGCAGCGGAAGGGGACGGGATCGGTAAGGAATTAACTGGGGCCCATCGCTCAGCGCAGACAGGCCCCTTTGTCAGGGCTGGCCGGCGGGGGCGGCGGGGACTGCGGAGTCGGCGAGCCGAGGCGGGGGTTGCTTCTTCTCCCATCCACCATCCTCCCGCCTCTGGCAGCCACCCCGGGCCGCTGCTTAGGGGAGTCTGGCTCTTCAACACAGTCAGGAAGTCCTTCCTATGGTCTACCCCAGAGGTCGGCAAACTAAAGCCTGCGGGCCAAATGTAACAGCCCATGAGAAAAGAATGTTTTTCACATTTTTAAATAGTGAAAAAAATTAAAAGACGAATAACATTTCTGGACGTGTGAAATGCGAATTTCAGAGTCTGTAAATAAAGCTTTATTGGAACAGAGCCGCGTTCATTCCTTTAAATATCCTCTATAGCTGCTTTCAGGCTGCAGTTGCAGAGTGGATTAGTTCTGGCAGACTGTTTGGCCTGCAAAGCCTAAAACATTTACCATCTATCTGGCCCTTTACAGAAGAAGTTTGCCAGCCCCTGGTCTAGCCTCCCACCCTTCCTGCTACAATGGAGGCCTTGGGGGCTCTGTGGGCTCTGCCTGCAATCCCACCTCCCCATCCCTCCCTGTTCCCCTCCTTTCTTGACGGTCCCGCCCTGTACCTGGGGCTCACCCAGGCAGGTCCAGGCAGCCGACTCCTCGAGTCCCTGGGGATGCCCGCAGACAGGGTCTCAGTCTTAGTGTCCTGACTCTCTGCCAACCCCCCGACCAGGGACGCCAGTGAACCGTGTGCCCATCATGGCGAAGCAGGTGCTGGACCTGTACGCGCTGTTTCGCCTGGTGACGGCCAAGGGCGGTCTGGTGGAAGTCATCAACCGCAAGGTGTGGCGGGAGGTAACGCGCGGCCTCAGCTTGCCCACCACCATCACGTCGGCCGCCTTCACTCTACGCACCCAGTGAGGCCAAGCGAGCGCGCGCGAGCGGTGGGAGCAAGGCGCGGGAGCGGGGGTGGGGCGCGGGGCGCGGAGGGCCCCGGGGGTTCGTGTCCGGGGGTGGGGCTTGATCAGCTGGGCCCAGCCTCCCACCCCACCCCGTCCGCCCGTAGGTACATGAAGTATCTGTACCCGTACGAGTGCGAGACGCGGGCGCTCAGCTCCCCGGGGGAGCTCCAGGCCGCCATCGACAGCAACCGGCGGGAAGGCCGTCGTCAAGCTTACACCAACACCCCACTCTTCGGCTTGGCGGGGCCGTCCCCTTGGGGCACTCTTGGCCCCGCCTCGGGTTCCGGGCCCGCCCCTCCCGCGCCCACGCCCGGCCCCCGCACTGCTCAGGGCTCCGCCTCCGGCCTGCCGGCGCACTCCTGCGCGCAGCTGAGCCCGAGCCCCATTAAGAAAGGTGTGAGGGCAGACGCGGCTGAACTTTGAGGGTCTCTGAGACCTAGGGGGAGGCTGAGATATAGGGAACATTAAAACGTGGAAACTCTGAGGTCTGGGAGCATCGAAGTATGGGGACAGTAAGGACTGACGGGGCACTGAGGTTTGGTGCATGCTCAGGTTTAGGGGTCCTGATGTTTGGGGTCAATGAAGCCTTGGGAGCTCTGGGATATGGGTTACTGCGGTGTGGGCCTGAAGCTCAGGAAAAGGTACTTTATCCAGAGCAGCTTCATTCAACACCAGGGCTCCTATTTGCATGTGGTTTATGCCTCCTGTTTTTCCTGGCTTATTTAACAACCGAAAGCAAGGAAATCCCCCAAATTGTCTGGGACAAACCTAGTCAGATATATTGGCCTTTTGGGGCTCTCCAGCTTCAGAGCCTCTATTCGGAGACTGGATGGGAGGGGAGATTGAACTTGGTGCTTGAGCTTGGATGACCTCCCTTGGTCCCAGGCCTGTGGGGAGAACCAGATGCAGAGACAGGGTTGGTTGGGTCAGGGGAGCTAAATGACCTGTTTTTTCAGAGGAGAGCAGAATTCCAACCCCTCGACTGGCGCTGCCTGTGGGCCTAGCCTTTGGACCTGCACGTGAGAAGGTGGCACCAGAGGAGCCCCCAGAGAAGAGGGCTGTGCTGATGGGGCCCATGGACCCACCTCGACACGGCGCACCCCCCAGTTTCCTGCCCCGTGGCAAGGTTCCCTTGAGGGGTGAGGAGGGGCTTGTTGCTGAGAGGGCTTAGGGCCTGTGCAATGAGGGAGGACAGACCCATCACCCCATAGGCATTGGAGGTGGGGCAGATAGATCCCTCAGTAGACAACTCTGTGATTACAGGTGTGGGGCGGAATTGGAATGGGGGCTCTCTATAGGGATGGAGGGGGGAGCTTGTAAGTCTGAAGTCTGATTCCCCAAAATGTGACTCCCCTGCCCCCTCCTGGACAGAAGAGCAGTTGGATGGGCCTCTCAATCTGGCAGGCAGTGGTATCAGCAGTATCAACATGGCCCTAGAGATCAACGGGGTGGTCTACACTGGTATGGGTACTGCAGGCTGTCTATACTGGCATGAGGTCAGGGGTATTTACACTGGCATGGGGATTTTAGACTTTTTCTGCTAGCATGAGGTTCAGAGATATCCAAACTTGCATGGGTAACATGGGATTCAGGGGATTGCTACACTGGCATGGATTAAAGGGGGTGTCTACATGGCATGGGATCCAAGGCATGACCTCTCTGGCATGAATACCATGGGATGTCTTGTCATGGGCCTATGTATCAGTGTAAATATTTCTTGTTTACTTGTTGGAGGGTATCTGTATTGGCACAGGAGTCTCTAACTGACTCAAGGGGCTTTTCGTCATTGGTTACGGCAGGGCTCTGTGTGTGGTGTTCTAGCAATCAGGACACTGACTTTTTTTTTTCCCTCTTCTGTTTCTTTGCCTCGCCATTTTCTGCTTGTGTTTTCCCTCTACCATCTCCTCACCCCTTTGCCAGGCGTCCTCTTTGCCCGTTGCCAGCCCGTGCCAGCTTCCCAGGGCCCAGCCAACTCTGCACCCCCACCCCTGATGGGGCCCCCTTCCAGCGCCTCACCCTGAGACCTCACACCTGAAATTGAGAGTCCCAACCCCATTGCTGAGGGGGGAGGAGACACCCCTCCAACCCATTCTTCCAAGGTGCCCATTCTAGGACCTGGGAAGGGCCACTCCCCCCCTCAACCATGCCATGTGGACTTGAAGCCAAAGAGATTTCTTCTGATGTTACATCTACCTCATTGCAGAAGGAGGGCATCTCCTCCCTGGCCATCTCCAGCAGCATCTACCAAAGAGTTCTTCCCCCGGTAACCCCCATCATCTCCTCATATGCTCCCTTGTGTCAATATCATCTCTAGGACTCCACCTCTTCGAGTCAGACCTGCTTCTCTTCAGGAGCCAGGTGAAGGGTTGAGTTGGGGTGTTGTGAAGATGTCCCTCAGGTCATATCTGGATAATAAAGCTGCGGTCCCTCCCTCTCCAGTGCCTCCTTTCCTTCTTGTTTGGGCCTGTGGGTCGGGGAGGAATTATGTGGTATGCACAGGCTGTGTTGGGCCAGGGGTTCTCAGAGAAGACAGAATAGCAAAGGCCATGAGTAGGAGAGCTCAGTCTCATGAATCAGACTGCCTGAGTTCAAATCCCGATTCTGCCACTACAATGTTGAGTGTCCTTGGCACGACACTTAATCGCTTGAACCTTAGAAGACTCCAACTTGAACCTTAGGAAGACTCACGGGGCTTCCTACTATTCTATGGGAATGGACCAATCTTAGAATAATGGGTATATTTATATGTGCAACCTCGGAGAATGGGGTAGGGAAACCTCTTTGGTACCCTGGAATTTGGTACCCTGGAATAAAGGCAAAGGTTGTTTTGATGAGCAGGGACTGGAAGTTAAGGTAGGGCCTGACGGGTGGCCGTCGCCTAGGTTACAAGACAGCTTTTGACAACTCTCGTCGGCCCTGCCTGCCGCTTCCGGCATCGAAGGGCTGAATCGTGGCATCACTTCCTGTATGCAGGGGAGCCCATCCACTCGGATTGGCTCGCCTTCTCTATTTGGACGGACGTCCCGCCCTCTGGCTGTGCCTGGCTGAGGCGGAGCGGCGGGAGCTATGGCGGCTGTGACAGATGTGCAGCGGCTACAGGCCCGTGTGGAGGAGCTGGAGCGCTGGGTGTACGGGTCGGGCGGGTCTCGCGGCTCGCGGAAGGTGAGCTATCTGGGGTCCAATGGTCCCTCTCTGGGGCAAAGCAACAGCCGTCTACTGGCCTGGTCCTTGAGATGGATGCTACCGCTCCAGAGTCCCGTTGCCCGCAGCCCGACCTTTGAAATAACAAAGGTTCGAGACCTCCCGGAGCATATCGGGCCCTCGGAGTCCATTCCCACGGAGGGCACTGTGAGTCTGAGGTGGGCTTACTGTGGAGACTCCGCCTTTGCCCTCGCGGGGTAGTTGGGGAGACCTGACACACTCGAGAAACTGACTAATCAGAGTTTCAGTAAGAGCTGAAGCCCGGAAGGGCCGTTGTGGAGCCCTGCGTAATTGCTAAGTGAATTGTGTAAAGAGAGGTCCATAGGACCCCAAAAGAGGCAGACCGGAGGTGGATAAAGAAGGCTCCAGGGGGTTAGAGGTGTGGTCTGGGAGGGCCGGGATTAGGAGGGGAAGGGATTGGGTACTGAGTGTTCAGATATGGACTGGCACTCCTTCCCACCAGTGACTGAATTTTGACAACTGTGCAGCTCAGTTTCCCTTCCATCCCCTTTTTAACTATGGAAAGACTTTTCACTGAAGGTGGAGTGTCAGGCACACCCTGGAGTTGAGTGCCTCAGAGGTAATGATGTCTGTTTGTACACTTCTTGTGGAATTAGTTGTCACTAACAGATTGTGTCCCATGTGAGAACTGACTTCTCAGAACATTCTCTACCTTTCACATCTATGACGCAAATCCTCCTGATTTTCCTCCTACGTCTCTGGCTGCTTCTACGCAGTCTTATTTGCCTTCCCGTATATTTGACCCTTGAATATTGTCATTCCTTACCCTCTAACCTAAAACCTGTGTGATATCATACACTTCCATAGCCTCTCCCTCTATTCAACCCTTTAATATTGGAATTCCTCATCCTCTACCCTTAAAGCCTAGGTAGGTTCAGCCAAGAGGAGGAATCAGGGAATAGATAGTATATGCTAGTGCCCCATAAACTCTAAAGTAGTTCATCACCTCCCCAGTCACAATTGAAACTCCCCAAGGAGTACATGATTATCTCCCCCTTCACACTGAGGATTCCCGGAAGGTAGGGTTGAATCTCTTTTAATACTAGAGAAGGGGACGATAGCTGGGACAAGGAGGTTTGGGAGTCTGAGGGAATGAGGGTTCTTTATCTCTTCCAAGACTTGAGCCAAGTGGTAAATCATGGAATTAACTTCCACTCCCCCAATAGGTGGCCGATGGCCTGGTCAAGGTGCAGGTGGCTTTGGGGAACATCGCCAGCAAGAGGGAGAGGGTGAAGATTCTGTACAAAAAGAGTAAGTGCTTCCATGAGGTGTCTGCCCGTTCTCCTTCCCAAGCCTGTGCTTCCTGGTTCCCTGCCCAGGCTCTTCAGCCTAGTAGGTCACTGGAGTTGCCCTTTGGGGATAGCAGGTGAAGACGTTGCCCTGGTGAAATGGTGAATTGGGGTGTGCTTTCTACTTTGTGGTTAAACCCCAAGCCCATGGCAATGTCCTAAGTTATGGGATAAGAGCTCTGCCTGAAAGGTCCCCTGGAGGAAGGAGGGACGAGGGTATGGAATTTCCACAGGCAAGGTTCAGAGGCAGGAAAGAAATCAGGCACTGAGAGCCCCAGTCTTGGCTCAACCAGCCCTTTTTGATTATTGTCAGAGCTAGCAACCTGTTCAGGAACTAGAAATCAGATAAAGCTCTGGCATGTCTTGGTGGCACTGAGGGGCAAGGTGCCTTCCAGCCTTGAGGATAGATCAGTGGGAATGCTGAGGGCCCCAGGGTTTTAAAGTTTGAGGCTGGCCAGCAGGTGATCAGAGGGTAGAGACAGGGAAGTGGGGATAGGGGACCTGGTGGAGGCCTGGTGTGGATGCTGAGGGTGTCAGCTCCTCACTCAAGGGTCTCCCCAAGGCTGACACCTCCCCTAATATCCTTCACAAGACTGATCCCCACTCCCCAACCTTATTCCATTTTCCATCTTGCTACTTTTCTAGTTGAAGACCTGATCAAATACCTGGATCCTGAGTACATTGACCGCATTGCCATACCTGATGCCTCTAAGCTGCAGTTCATCTTAGCAGGTAGTGCTGGACAGTATGTGCATATGCATCTGGGGATGTGGATTGTGGGGGAAGTCGGGCACAGAGATAGCTTCCCTGCCGGCCCTCTCCTGGATACAGCCCTGGAAGCTGCTTTCTGGAATCTGGCCTGGTTCTGGACTGAGGCTGGAGGTGGTCCTCTAGTAGGCACTGGGTACAGTATACTTCAGAGCCAGCTGCAGACCATGGTGCCAGCCACAGTGGAAGCTACTCCGGTGTTCTATCTATGGCCTGCCTCTAGGATTTTCCTTCGGAACCTTCCTTACTTCTGCTCAGTAGACATAGGAGCTTCTAAGAAAGGGTAGGGGCAGAGAGCATTGCATTTGGGAGAGGTGAGGTTATAGGCATGAGTTTCAACATCTTTCTTTCATGTGAGAAAGCGCTGGGATTTCAGAATTCTAGGCAGGAACTATTGTCTTAGCAATGTCTGCTTATCAGTTAGTTAGCCACTCCACGAGGTATGGTTTGCCAAGCACCTGTGTTTGTTTATGCATTCAAAAGTGATCATCTACTGTGATCCAGACTATCCTAGGTGTGAGGTATACAATGGCGAACCAGAACATACCTGAGCCACTGCTGTGGCTTAGACACCAAGTTCAGGAGGTCTTCTCCTGCTCCGATTATTATTTTCTTTAATTAATTAATTTATTTATTTTTGGCTGCGTTGGGTTTTCATTGCTGCGCGTGCACTTTCTCTAGTTGCGGTGGCTTCTCTTGTTGCGGAGCATTGGCTCTAGGCACATGGGCTTCAATAGTTGTGGCACGCAGGCTCAGTAGTTGTGGTGCATGGGCTTAGTTGCTCTGCGGCATGGTCTCCCAGACCAGGGCTCGAACCCGTGTCCCCTGAATTGGCAAGCGGATCCTTAACCACTGCGCTACCAGGGAGGTCCCTCCTGCACTGATTCTTAAGTCCAGCCTCTCCATGCCTCCCTGTCGCCACTGCCTCAGTGTTCACCCCTTGTACATGAATAGTTGCAGTCTCCTAAGTCCTCTTCTTGACCCTAGTCTTCCCCTTCTTGCATGTGGTTCAGTATCGTCTTCCCAAAACACATTTCCAACATGCCACTTTGTTTAGTTTGGAACCTCAGTGTGTGTGTGTCTCTCTCCCTATTAGGATAAATTCCTAATTCCTTAGCATGCCATTCCAAGCCTTCTATAGACTGCCAGATCTACCCTCCCATCTAGCTGTTTCCTGTGCTCTCCTTGCTCCAGTTCAGCCAAATGAATTCTTTTTCCTCGACTAATTGACAAGCATTCTTGCCTCCAAATGTTTGACATAAGAGTCCTCCCTTCTTGAATGCCCTTCCCACTCTGCAGCCACTGAAACCCCCTGTGCACAGGGTCATTCCAGTCCTGCTTTCCTCACTGGACTGTCCTGTTAGTGTCCCAGCTCTCCAGGAACTTGTAATTGTCTGTGCCTCTCAGATCCACTGAGCAGAACCTGCCTGGTAGTTTTCCACGTCTCCTCTTTCAGACCTTCCCAGGAGCCCTTGCACGTGGGTACCCAAGTCTGAAGTACTTTGTTTCCTGTGGCCTAGGAGGGGCTCTGGGCTTGTTGATAGCAAGCTAGAGGAAGGGGCCTCAGAGTTAAAACTTGGAGAAAGGTAGGATTTGGAGGAACTTAGAGGCTCCTTGGGCTCAAGATAGGTCAGACCAGAGGCATCCAAGAGAGGTGGAGACAGATTGGGGTAATGTGCACATAGCGAAGGGGGCAGTGGGCAGACTAGCTGCCCCAAGCTCCAGGCTCAGCCATCTCATCGGCCCCTTGCATGGGAGTGGCTGTGCCCAGGCTCGCCTCACTGCCACTGCCTTTTCTGTTTATGCCTCAGAGGAGCAGTTTATCCTCTCCCAGGTTGCGCTTCTGGAGCAGGTGGAGGCTTTGGTGCCCATGCTGGACAGCACTCATATCAAAGGTACCTCTCTGGGGCTGCAGCTCCACTACTCTACTTGGGGAGGTGGGTGGATGGGCAGGACTTCCCTGGGCTCAGGCTAGCTCTGCTCCTTGTCTTTATCTCACCTTGGGGGTACCAGACACCTGCACTGGGATTAAAATTTCCAGGGCAGAGAGCTCAGCTTCAGAATGTCAGGCAGTTTGGCACCAAGGACACGCATGTAAGGCCAGCGACCTCCAACTCTGGGATTCCTTCTGTCTTCTACCCCACCCCTCAGCATC